GAAGAAGAAGAAGAAGAAGAAGAAGAAGAAGAAGAAGAAGAAGAAGAAGAAGAAGAGAGAGAGAGAGAGAGAGAGAGAGAGAGAGGGCAGAGTCAAGGAGACACCATATAATCACTGAAGGAGAAAGATATCAAAACATTACTAGTAAAACTACAACCTTGTGGCAATATGTAGATCAACAGAAATGGATTCATTTTGGCCAAACGGTGTTGTAATTAATATGGTTTCTATGTGATTATTCAGGTATAGGTGGTCAGGAAATGAAAATACAGTGTCCGTTTACAGGTGTTCTGCCATTCAACATCTGCTCAAGAATCCTCTAACTTTGAAGACTCTGAAGGCCAAGGAATGAGCAGCTCGTAAGGACTGGGTACACATAGGTGGATCTCTCATTATGAAGAGCATAATGTACAAAGTCTTGGGATGCTGCCTAATAACACCCAAAGCATACAGATAAATCATCCAAGCAAGAAGGGGCCAAGGTGAGCAGGCATCATAAGTGAAAGTCAATTGGGCAAAAGCAGGATGCATCCTGTGCTTAATAATTTTAGTAGATTATGTATTTTCTAGCCTGCTCCACAGGAACCAAAGGACATGTGGTCCTAATGCAACCTATTTCTAGTTTCAAATTTCTCAGCAATATCGTTTGTGGAGCGTTCCAGTATACCCAAGGTAGGCATTCTTAGGACCCCGACTTAGAGCTTTTGAAGGTTTAGTTACATGTATGGTTCTTCTAGTGCCTGGCTCTGGGAGAGTGGGACTGAAGGCTTAGGAATGGTGGCATGAATGACTCTGGGACTCCTCTGATTGAGAAATAAGATGCAGGAAGTGATTTCATGATAAGTTGAGAACAAGGAAAACTCTAACCAATCTGTCATCCTCCAGTCTCTCTGTAAAACTTAGCGCTTATACAGCAGGGTGACTATGCCTGCACCCAGCACCCGGGAGCGCTGCTCTGGGCCACCTCTGCATCAGCTGAGCAACACTGAAGCCAAAGACAGGAATTTGCATTAGCTCCCCTCTCACTGGAACATGTACACTTTCTTTTAAATTAAAAGATAACTGCGCTTGTCTTTTGACCACACAGGTACTGGGTCCTTTTGGAAAGTCACACGGTTGCCTGGTTACCAGATTCTATGAACTGTCACTTTTGTCTTATATGTCTCAATTCAGAATGGGGTTTGGAGTATTAGAATCCCTTTCTAGGTCTGAGGGGTTGGAGAACGAAGCCTTTGAAAAGTCAGTACTAGGTCTGACTCACTCAGGAAAAAACCGCAAGAGCAACCTTGAAAATTTCTTTATTTATAGACATTTCAGAACCATTTAAATCAACAGACAATGGATTATTTTTTGACATAACATACTGGATTTCTCTTGAGGTACACATTGGGTCCATTAGATAACGCTCTGGAAAGCAACATAACCAACTGCTGACATGGGTTAGCAGCCCAGTTTCCCCAGCCAAGAAACTGTACAGAGACTTCCAAAATCCTTAGAAAATACAATTTCCATTTAAGTGAAGGAAAATTTCTTAAGTTCTTGAGTTTCATTTTTTTTCTGAGTCTTAGATGAAGCAATATTCCAAATGGAACATAATATAAAGACAGGGGTCAGGTTTATGAGTAGGGGATTATCTAAGTCCTATCCTACGGGACGCTGTAAACCAAGGGAACTCACCATCCACTAAGCTCTGTGACAAACGCATAGCTCTGGAGTTGGACAACTACAGACAAGGTTTGCACCTAGCTTGAGACGTTGACTTGTTTCTTATTATCACAATGAGGCAAACTGTAAAACAAGAAATCTTGAAAACTCAGAAATGTGACTTGACATGATAGGGCCACCAGGATCCTACATTACAAACCCACAGTATAATAAAAGTCCTGTTGGCCCTGTTTGTTCTCTGGCCCTTTGATTCTTCTTGCCTTAGCAGCTCCAGATGTCCAGAAAAGCAACGGCAATGGGTGTTATGGACATGTTTCTGAAAGCCTCATGTGTCCAACAGATGTAAGTTTTTGGTAGACTGAAACACAAATTTATTGGGTTCTTTGGAGAAATGTTTTGTCTCCCAGTTTGCTACTCAGGAACGCACTAGGAAAATGAAGGGCTCTCCATCCATCCACACCTACCCCTTGAATTCTCAAGGAGGCAAATGGGTGCTAGGCAGGTGGCTCGGCAATGCGAGGGGAGCTTGTTATACACGTGTCTTGTCGGCTGGCATGGACTATCACATTTCCCATAAGGCTGTGGCATTTCTGCAAGATAAGAATAAACACTACAATTTAGCTGAATGGGCAGTTTGGTACAACTTCATAAATTTGAATGGTGTGTGTGGGCCGAGAGAGTGTATACATGGACATTTCACAGTTCATAAACTTGAGCAGTTCAACTTAAAGACAGAACTTGCAGTGAGTTAGGAGATTCTGTGGCAGGATTGGTGGGTGAATGCTGGAGTTTTCGCTCTGAATTGACTTCGTATTTTACATTTCAGCTGCTTGGCTTGTTTTATTGCTGATGCTCTTTCCTGATGGGAGGGGGCAGGAAGATTTTAGACATGAGTTTAAGGATCACCCAAAGATCCCGTTTAGACAGTACTTCTCCACAAGTCCCACGGTCACTTATGGGGCTGTAGGGAATCTGTCACAAAAAGAGAGAGGTATTGTCTTGACCTGGCTGGTTGGAAGAGGTCCCACTGTGGGATGTGGAAGGCGAGAACTGTTTCTGCCTTCTGCTCTGTGTAGCCTGTCTCATTCCCTCTGCTGGCTTATGAATTCCCTGTCTAGCCAACATCCTCCGCAGACAGGTGCTCAGCTCAGAAGTGGCAATTATACTTATTTGTGGCTTTCGGAAATGCCAGTACTGATTATCATTAAAAAATTCCAAGTCAGTAAAAGAAAACAGGAGACAGTGAAAGACAGATGCATTTTTCCTCTAAAGTATTCCAAGTGTTAGTGTCTTGGGGTGTTTACTGTATGTCTTAGAAGGGGCTGTCATTGCTTCCATCTGTGGGCTCCTTAAAGGTGGGACACAAAACTCTCCATAAATCCACCTTCCAGGAAAACTTCATAGTCTCTCATGCACACATACAGTGTCAGCAACTGTGATTTTGAAACATAAACAAGTTCTCAGAGGGCGGGGGTCATCTCTTTCCTCAGCCTCGGGTCTGGCACACAGAAAGGGCTCAGCGAATGTCCAATGAATGCATGATTCCAAGGCCTATTCTTGCTCCCAGGGAGGCTCCAGGATCCCAATTAATACAGAGTTGGCACGCACATGCCAGGACCAAAGCAAATGGACTAAAAGAAGATGGACACTCTTATTTTGTTTAAGGTTCTTGCAAAAGATGCACCACGGCAATTGTTTATGTGGGGACAACCTTCACAGTAAATGCAAGCCAACCCTGTGGCTTGCGGTTGAGTTTGAGAATCACGGTCAAGTGCTGGGTACTAGAGGATGGACAAAGGAAAGGTTTGTCAGTGGTGATCACTGTCTCTACTGCAGGTTGTCTGTCTTCATTCTCAAGGGAAGTAATGCTCTTAGGCTAGGCGAACTTTCTAAGGAGTTAATTCCTCTCACTGAGGGTTGCTTTCTGAAACAGATTTTCTACACGTCTTGGTTGTGAGAGGGCAGAACAGGAAGTTCGCCGATTCACGAATGGCTTCTGAAGTACTCCAGCGGCTCAGTTTGATGGAAGATTCTTTTGACTTGCACTGTAGTATTTACATCTAGGATGCATGTTAGGACGGGATAAAGGCCTTTGCTTCTTTTAATGTGAGCAGAAATGACAAACTAGACTAGGCGTCAATTCATCTCAGCTCTAAATCACAAGATGGAATTAAGGAGCTTTCTAACGGAAAGAAATAGTGACGGACTTCACAGGGCTGCAAGTGCTGGCTGCTGGCTCTTGCTCTTAACAGTGATTTCCTTTTTGGTGAGTAGGAAGACATGGTAACATATGGTCAATCCTTCAGAATACACTGCCTCCTGGTGGCCAAACAACCTCACCTGAGAAGCTCAGGTGTGCATCTTGTTAAGAGAATGTCTGCCCAGCTAGAATCTGGGGAAAGACCCAGGAACTGTTTGGAGGGTACATTTGTTGCTCAGAAAGAAACAGGAACTCTTTGAGGTCATATACCTTCAAAGAGTCAAGCGTGGGGAGATGATGCTATATTTTAAAGTATTTAATCACATTTAGCAAAATCCTTAGATACGTTCTGGAATTCCCAGAATACGAGTATGGTAATTATTATTATTAGTTATTATTATTACTTTAGAGGAATAGAAAGAGGAGGTCTGTGGAATTAGCAAGTACTCATTGATATTTTACGCATCAGTGCAGAGATGTGGCGTATATAACAGAGAGGTGGTCTGTATGAGTCATGAGCTTTCCTAACACAAGAGGCGTGGCCAGAAGACCTCACATGTGTGAAGAAATGCTTTTCAGATTTCTCCCTGGGACACATGGGAGGGAAGTGGCTGTCGTGTCCTCAGCCGTCACGTGGGTCTGCAGGAATCAGCCCTTGCAGGGCTTAGACATCACATTAAATCCTTCAGCACTCCTGACTGATTGCTCCTGAGTTTTCAGGGTGGAGCCTACGAGCTTCAAAGGTCAGATTCTGAGACTCTTTATAACCACCCTGCCAACTGGTCTTAGAGAATTCACTCAGTTAAAGGGCCCTAAACCTCAATGGACATTAGAAAATAAACAGATGTTATTTAAAATATCAGATTCAAAAATTACATTTCAACATACTTGCATGTGCTGCATAGGAACACACACACACACACACCTATTTTGTTTCTTCTCTGCTCAATAAAACTAGCAGCAAGTACAGATCAAACGTAATGGTCATGATCTATGTCATTTCCAAGGACAGCAGATGTCCTCCATCAAAACATGATTTTTGGGAAAATGCCTTTTGATAAAAAGATCTCCACCAAGCATATAACATTAAAGTGTCATTTCACACCACTAACATTGTCAGGCACAAGAGTTAAGCAATTGGCATGAAGCAAAGAAAGCCGCAGAATACAAGTAACTGCCGGATGGACGGATGTCGACTCCCCGCGGAAGGGACTGCTCACAAGTGTTTATGTCTTTCAGCTTTGGCTGTTTGTAATAAATACCATGCCTTCTTGAAGACCTACTGGGGTAAAAATGAGTTCTCTGAATACGACTTTAGTTCTTTTAGCAGCTGTTGAATGTTGAGTGATGTACAAGGCACACCTCTAAGTGTTCTGTGCAGCATCTTTATTGATGTACAAAATAGACTGGTCACCATTCAGAAATGGAGTCTGCATAGTAAGACTTTCTCTAGCTCTATTTACAGAGAAGGGCTTTTGCTTTGTTTTCTTTCTCTCTTTTTTTTTAGTGCAAAAACATGGATTTGAGACCCAGCCCACCCTTCTAGCACACGTTTCTCAGCTCTGTTTCACGCTGACCAGGGACATTTGGCTATATCTTGGGCCTCCAGCCATTTATAAACTGCATTATTTTCTTCACCTGCAGTTTGCTTAGTTTGAAATCCTCTGAGAGGATTTCTTCCGTTAACTGAACAAGCAAATTCCCATCGATCTTTTCCGTGACAAAGAAAGCTATGACGTCTTCAGACAAACCAATGAAGCGTAAGGACTTGGACACTTCCTCTATCGAGAGTCCAGAGAGGTCGGCAGGTGGCTGCCACGGGGAGCCGTCCCCACAGGATCTGGGGGCCAGCTGGAGGTGGAGTGGAGATGAGAAAGGGTAAGAGACAGCAAAGACGTCCTGCACGCCCTTTCTCACAAAATACTGGTCCTCGGAGAGGTCCAGCGACCCTGCTGTGGGGTCCTCCTCAGCACCATCAATTTTCAGAGGCAAAGGAGATGTTTCAGGGGCGGTTCTCTGTTCCACTGGCTTTGGGGCCCTTGGGGGCAAGGCAGGGCAGGAGACGCTCTGCTTGGTCATGCCAGCTGCAAGGGAGCTGTCCTCGGAGTTCTCCAGAGAGTAGCTGGCGGACTTGGGGCAACTGGAGCCGCCGCCGCTGCTGAACTCTGCAGAGGCTGTGCTGGGCGGGCTGCCTAAGAGCTCGCAGCCATCAAAATCAAAAGGGGCCGGGCAATTTCTCTTTGGTGTGCCAGGTGTCTTCTGTCTGGGGTAGCTGTAGCTCCTGCTTGGATCGAGCAGGAAGTCACTCCGTGTCTGGCTCTCCGATGCTCCCGAGTAATGGTTGGGCCATGAGAGTCTGGAGGCCAGAGCATCAGCAGAAGGACTTCCAAATGGGGACTTGGGGTCCACAGAGTCACTCTTTATTCGGTTGCAAGGGTAGCAGGAAACGGGGGCACTGTCAGGAGGGCTAGTGTCATTCTTCGTGGTGCTGCTTAAAAACAAACAAACAAACACAGAAAAGGAAGTTAGTAAAACAGAATGTAACCCTAGCCTTTGGGAGGTAGGAGGAGCTCTGTGAGTTCGAGACCAACCTGGTTTACATAGTGAGACCCTGTCTAAAAACAGCCAAACCCCAAGCTTTTCTTTATCATTATTCACAGATGTTATTTCTAAGGTGCAAGGGCAACATGTGTGTGTGTGTGTGTGCGCGTCTATGAACACGCACACATATATACATACACATCTTGAATTTAATAAATTACTATTAACTTTTTTCTTTAAAAGACTGTAAATTTCTTTGTATTTGTAGATATGTGCATAATGATTTAAAATGCTATAGTAGAGATAAAAATAATATATGCATACACATAAATAATGTATAGTTTAGTTGATAAGAAAGTACGGTTCGTAAGGGCCTGCGTCTTCATATTGAGAAAAATTTTCATGCCATGCTTTGGTCCAACACTGAAGAATAACGTCTGAGGTGGGCAAGGGTGGAGGCAGAGCGGTGGCAAGTGTCTCATACAATCACACAAGAAACAATGATCTGCCACATCACCACTGTCCTTAACTGTATCCTCCCCAAGGTCTGCTGGGAAAAAATGCTTCTGACAAATGCCTATCCTTGCCTTGGTTTCAAACAATAGAGTTAACACATAGCAGAAGCATTTTAATGTCCAGACAGGAAAAATGAAATAAAACATGCCTGCAAAGACTCTAACGTTTAAGAGCACAGGCAGAGGTGCATTCGCCCTAGAGGCCACACTTCCACATTCTCATATTGACGGTGGTGAGACCAGAGGATGCTGAAAGGCTGGTGAACAGGCTGAGGGGGAGTGGGGGTCATGTCTGAGGGAGCAGCAGAGGGAACGGGCATTTTGTTTCACAGAAGAACTAACTTAGTTTTCTGAGAAAAACGGGGCTGGTCTGTTTGGTTTCTCTAGACAAACTATAGTTGAAGGTTACATAGAGCCAGACATACTATAACTTGAGAGCACTAAAGAGAACTTTTTAGAAAACAACGCCCATTTGTCGGTAGTGAAGCAGGCTGTCTCTTGTGAGAGCTCAGAGTTCTGGAGAGACCCAGACAGGACCATCTTTGCAGCCATCGCCAAGAGGGGATTATTCCTGCAGGGTTCAAGTTCAGAGCAGAAGGCTGAGAGGAGCCTTTGGGTTTGAGGTCCTGATAGAAGCTGTTGTCTGCTTGTATCCAAGTCAAGATGAAAATAACCAGAGTCAGCTTCTGAGAAGCAATGGAAGGCCGCACACTGCTTCTAAGAGGAGGGGCTTTCCTTGGTGTCTCACAGACCCTTGTGGCATCTTTTCTTATCATGACACCAAACCCAGCAAACCCAGCAGGGGCCCAACTATGTTCTTCCTATAATCTTAGCTTTAGGAGGCAAACACCACTTCCTCTCCCACCCTGCTGCCAGATGGTATTCTCAAGGCCCCTGAGCTGGCTGGTAAGGAGCTAGGTTGCTTCAGACAGGAAGACTTACATGTTATGCAGCCCTGAAGAATAGTAGGACAGGGTGGGGCTGGGAGAGCGAGTCTGTGGCCGAATAGGCTTGGCTGTGCGAGGAGGGATGGAGGGACTTGTGGATAAAGGCTTGGAGCTTCGGGGTGGAACAGGTGGGGCGTTCAGGAGCCGGCATTCTTCCCTGACCTGGTGTGGGAAAAGAACACTCCAGGTTAGCAACAGACTGATAGGACCAAGGCGTGGATTTGGAGACGGGGGTGGAAGGTTGAAGGTGAGGTTGTGGAGAAAGCTCTGGCTTGCAGGGTTGGGGGGTACTTTAAGCAGTAAAGGCAGTGGGTAAGCAGGAAGGACACATACAGAAAAATGGGGCAAACAAACAAGCACACACACACACTATAAAACTGCTGGGAACAGACTGATCTGGAAGAAAACTGTGTGGTGAATGTCAGCTTCTGCGGAAATAAAGCAAGAAATGGGAAATAAAAGCTTGAAGGATGCCAGGGTGCATGGAGCAGACGTGGATGTGGGAGGCAAAGAGGGTGTCAATTATGACGATGAGAGAGGATTAGGCTCTGCTTGAGTCCTGTTTATTTCCCAAATGCAATCCAATTGGACTTTGGCAATGTGGATTTCATTTTTTTTACACTGATTTTGTATGTGCACACACACATGTGTGAGCTGTGCCATGGAACCTGTGTGGAGGTCAGAGGATAATTTATGGGAGTCGGTTCTTCGTATCAACCATTTGGGTCCTGGAGATCAAATTTAGGCCCTGAGGCTTGGTGGCCTTTACCATTGAGCCTTCTGGGCCAAAATGTGGGCTTTCTTCAGGGCTAAGGCCCCACTGACAGCTATGTCTGTTGCCTTTCAGATATTGATGTGTGTACATTCAGTGACCTTGTTAAGATGCAGATTTGAATTTAGGAGATCCAGGCTGGGCTCTGAGAGTTGACATTTTCTTTCCGTCTTTTATGGTGCTGAACTCAGGGCACTGTATATGCTAGACAAACGTCCTAGCTACTGAGTTACGATCAGCTCTTTCAAAAGTTATTGTTGCATGTCTGTAATCCCAGCACTCAGAAGGCTTACAGCAGCAGGATTGCCATGAGCTAAGGCTAGCCAGGGCTCCATAGTGAGAGTCCATTTCAAGAAGGATCCGGAGCCACTACCTTTTATTTTTCTTCCTTTTTTTCCTTCCTTTTCTCTTCTTTCCTTCTTTCTTTCCTTCTTTCCTTCCTTCCTTCCCTTCCCTTCCCTTCCCTTCCCTTCCCTCCCCTCCCCTTCTCTTCCCTTCCCTTTCCTGCCCTTCCCTTCCCTTTTTTTTTTGTTCACCCCCACCTCTTTTATTTGGTATAGTTTTCAAAGTCAGTCATGCTGGCTTGGAACTTGTGACCCACCTGTTGCAACCTTCTGGGTAGCTGGGCTTACAGAAAGGCATGACTGTGTCTGGCAGAGTCTGTATTTCCAACAAGCAGCAGGGTAATTGTGATGCTATGGGTCTATGGACCACACAGCTGCAGAGGGAGCAACGAGGTAGTACTCCAATTCCAGAGCAGAACTTTTACTGATACAAAGCTACCCTGCCAGTCAGATGGCCTCCACTTATCTCCATACTGGGGATGATCCAGGTGACCTAGGATGCCTGGGGCTTCAGCAAGTGACTGTCCTTACCCACGCTGGCTTTCTGGTCATTGTAGCTTTTCTCAATACCATTCTTATTCATGAAGCGTGACTATGGCATGCCCTTCTCCATGTCAGGCAGCAGGGGGCACTTGATGCCTGGCTGTGCTAGTCCACTCTGAACCTCCGAGACTCTGAGACAAACCAACTTGCTTTCAGGCTGCGTTCCCAGGATTTCTCTCACCTTTTCCAGCAACAACGTGTCTTAGGGACAATGGAAATAGCAAATGCCCACCAGTTTTGGTGATGAGGATGCTGAAGATGAAACGGATGGGCTCATGAGATACATATACTTTCTTTGTTGACTATATTTATGCGGGGCCTCCAGCTGGAGTCCAGGCCTGACTCTCTTGCTAAAGAAAATCAGCTGGAAAAGGAAGCCAGGTGATGATGAGTAGTGCCTTGAACCTTGATTTAAGTGAGGTGGAAGCAATCTTATTTTTTATTAATTTTTTTGAGACAGAATCATTTTGAATGATTTACTTATTTTTAATTTATAAGCATTGATTGGTGTTTTACCTGCATGTCTGTCAATGTGTGTGAGGGTGTCAGGACCCTTGGAAATGGAGTTACAGACAGTTGTAAGCTGTCATGTGGGTGCTGGGAATTGAACCCAGGTCCTCTGGAAGAGCAGCCAATACTCTTAACCACTGAGCCATCACTCCAGCCTGGAGACAGAATTATTGTACAGCCCCACTGGTCTTAAACTTTGTATGTAGTAGAGGATGACCCTGAACCCATCTTTCTGCCTGTACCCACCAAGTGCTGGACTTACAGGTATACCCTACCATAGCCAATGGGGGTGATTAAAGAGCACCATTCACTGTATTTCATCATGGCACCAGGGGTTTCTGCTCCTACCCACAGAACCCTAGTCCTAGGACTGGGTTGGGAAGAAGAGGGCTACGTATTCAAGCAGCTCTACAAGCTAAAGCAAAATACTTGGGTAGGAGATTTCTTCCTCAATGGCGAGAGCAAGTTTTCTGTTTTGTTGCCTTTAAAGAAGGTAATGCTGCAGAAAATTAGCCCGTATCAGAGCTCTGCAGCAAATCCTGACCGCTGCAGAAAACCACAACAGGTCAGTGTGCAGACACCAACTGGTCATGTAGGGGCGCATCCCAAGGGATACACCTACAGTACAAACCTCTGCACTAAAGGCTCACGAGATAGTTTGGAAGAGGAAAGATCATAAGAGCCAGAGGACCAGGCAATCTGCTGTGATATTTTTTCCTAGAAATGACAGGGAAGCCACACCTACGGTACCTCGACAATATGGCTGTCTAAATGAGACCTCAACAAGGACACCACCACAGACAGGCTAAAGAGGAAGACAGAAATATGGGTCTCGACCTTGTACAAAGAACTACAGGAAGCTAAGGGTGAGAGGAGTCTTTCCCTAGGGAGGAGTCCGCTTATTGATTATTCAATACCAAGATGTCAGCTCTGAAAGCATGTGCATGTAAACAACAGAGAAAGAATTCAGAGAGTTGTGTTTATATATTTATGTGCTTATATAAACTTGGACCAATAGCAATTATAAACAAAGAGGACATGGATTTGAAAGAGAATGGGAAGATTGGATGAAGAAAAGGGATGGAAGGAAACAATTATACTTTTATTTTTTAATAGATTTATTAACTTTATATTATGTGAGTGTTTTGCTTGCATGTATGCATGTGTACCACATGTGTGCTTGGCACCCACAAAAGTGAGAAGTGGGTACTGGTCCCCTAAAACCAGAGTTATGGATGGTTGTGAGCCACCACGTAGGTACTGGGAACTGGACCAGGACTTCCACAAGGGCAACGAGTGCTCATGGCCTCTGATCCATCTCTTCCACTCCATCATTATATTTTAACAAAAATTAATTAAAATAAAAGGTGGGCTAGGTGTGGCGGTCCACGTATACATCTTTGATTCCAGGGTTTGGAAGCAGAGGCAGGTGATCTCCGTGAGTTTGGTTTAGAGAGTGAGTTCCAGACTAACTAGGACTACATAGTGAGACCCTGTCTCAAAAACCAAACAACCCTCCTTAAAGAAAAAGATGGTAGCTGTGGGCGACTACAGAAAGGGACCCATAAGCAATGGGGTCTGGAGAGCAGGGAGGACTGTTCAGCTCTGACACTGGGGTGCTCTGCTTTTCTCAAGAGGAACTGGCTGATGTTTTAATTTTTTTAATGAATGACTTCTCAGTATCATAATTAAGCAGAATGTAAGAAAGAACTTAGTGATGAATTCAATTTGGAATATTCTACATTTTAGAATCAGTCGTATGATACGTCACTAGGGAGAAGCTCCCTCGCCTGTCAACTGAGACATGCTGAGATGCCCATTGCAAGGTGCATTTCAATTTAAAATATTTGGCTGACCTTAACCTTGGAACTCCAAAAATCATCCACTTGCAGCTGAATGGGACCTGAGGTATGTCCCCCTTTCCTGTCCTTATGACTTAAAGCACCTGGGGTGTTTGGACAGCACCTTCATAGCTGGGCAGTTCTGAAGTTCTTCCCGTGGATGGGAAAGGTTCACAGGAAGCAGCTGTAGATGTAGCCTGGTGTGGGGGAAGATGTGGCTAATGGAGGGTTTACAGCCAAACTTCAAAATGAAATCTGGGACCCAGGCTGTGTTAGGGGCTTCCCCAGGCTCTGAAAGGAGTCCGGGTCTAACTCAGTTCATGAAAAGACCAAGCTTCCTTAAAACATCCTTTGGAAGGACGGTCATATTAAAAGCAACAACTAATCCTCAGCATGGGTTTTGAACATCTTCCTGCATAGGCACAGAATGAAGGGCTCATGCTGCCCCAGGCTGGCAGGAAGGGCAGTCCTCAATGCAGTGAGGTGGCTGGCAAGCCACAGCCCTGGGCTCTTTCAGCTTGGACTGCAGATACAGGTTTTCTGATGAAGTCTTATTTCATGGCATAGTATGGGAAGGATTACACGCCTCGGCGGGATGTACACATCCTGGCATTCAGAAGTTATAAATAGTGAGAGTTGGCTGTGCCATCTTATTTCCTGTCTTTCATGCCAGCTCTCAGTCTACTCTTCTTCGCTGCTTGATTTGATTCAACACAAGACATTTATATCCAAGAGGGCAGCTATGCTATAAATAAATTTCATCTCACAATAAAAGCTAACGGACAGGGCAGGGTGGCCAAGCAGCCTGTTTCCTGCTTTCTTCCGTATTCAGTTCACTTTCACGTGCTACATGCCCAGCACATTCCTTCTGGAAGTCTCCGCATATGCCTCTTGCCTGGTTGATGAAGACTAGCCTTGTCTGGTCTTCCACTGAGGCCTTTGCAGGCTGGCACTGACCCATCTTTCTGGGCCAATTCTCAGACTCTTCTTCCTCCTTCCGCCCCCCACCCAAGCCATTCCTTCTCCTCTTCCTCCCTAGCAATGGATCTGTTTGGAGGCTCCTCTGTCACTTGAAGAACCTTGTGCTTTCCTGACTCTCCTCTGTTTTAGTTTCTTACTAGCCACCACACTCAATCGACCATTCCTGCTGTC